AAGCTATGAGATCTGTAAAAGATGCCATTAAGGGATCAAGTATTGAGTAGGGAAGGAAAATTTGGTAGAATACAGTTGAAAAAGGAAAAACAGAACTGGAGGTATTTATATCTCACTCAGTTGAGTCTCTCCAGAAACTTTTTATATAAGGCAGATCCTGAAAGTTAACAGACAACAGAAATTTTTGTAGGATTAGGTAATTTAATCCAGTACTAAACTTAAAAGAGACTTTAGAATCATCAAATTTACTCATTTTACAAACTGGAAACTGAAGCTCCCCTAAAGAGAAGTTTAAGATCTCAAAGACAGAAGTGACATTGGGACAAAAATTCAAATCTCTCAATTCCCAGTCATATTCTCTTTCCCCTATGCTACATTACATCCAAAATACTGACACTATTTACATCCAAAACACTGACACCATGAAAACAGTTCAGGAAGGTTATTTTAACAGTGTTTACTAGTCAGAATTAGATAGGAGATAACGGAGGCGGGAAGATTAGTTGAGAGAGAATAGCAGTAATTAGGGCATGTAAGTTAGAGCACTTAGACTATCCTTGAGAATGCGTTACAACAGCCATCAGATAAGACAGGACCCATTTAGTGGCACCTTGAGCTCTTAACTGGCAAATACAAACAAAACCTCCCCAATCACAAGGCTGTAAGATATAAAAATAAAATTTACCTTATTACATTGTCTGATGTTAACAGCACTATGTGGGGGTCCAGCATTTCACTCGGATACCAGGCAGCATGCTTTAGAGTCAGAGAGGTAGAACTGGTGAAAAATCTCTCAGCAATTGGAGTGGTACTAAAATAAAGACAACAATTTTCCAACAAAACATTTTGTAGGACTTGGATGAAAAACCCTCTAAAGGAAAATCTATTTGAACACTCTGCTTTTCTTTCCTTCAACTTTCTCTTTTAAGTCTTGCTAGGAGAGCATTCAAAGCATCTATTCAATCAATATCAAAGAATCAAAATAAAAACACTTTCTAAATTGTAGAGCATTCTATATTGTATATGTAATTTTAGATATAGTATCTTATTTGATCCTTTTAGTAACCCTGTGAGGAAAATAAAAGAGCAGATATTATCATTCCCATTGTGGAAATGGAGTTAGAAAAGAAACATTTTAAGGGGACCCAACTTTTAAGTTGTAGAACTAAAGGCGGGTTTCTACCTTATATTCTTTTCAGTAGATCTTTCAGATGGTCACTTTTCTGGATTTGTTGGGAAAAAAGTTACATAAAAAGAAAACTTAGTTGAACTTATGAACAAACTGTCTGGCTCATAGATAATAATTGCTTTTAAAAAATCTTATTTCTACCTTGAAGAATGACCTGACTTCTAATGAGAGAGTAATGTGATAATTCAGGTAGAATATAAAATATAATCACATATATACCAAAACATTATTACCATAAAATGCCAATGTGCAGACCATATGGAGTATTCATAGTAAACATACCTTAAAATTACTGGTCTTGAATAATTTTCTGCATTCATTACAAATTATAAAGTTAAACACTAAATGCAAATATAACTTACCTACAATTCACTGTTGCTTTTCCACCTTCAAATTCAGAATTCTTCCCCCATCTTTTAGGTAATTCTAACACCGTAAGTCCTTTTATTCCTATAAGTGCCACGTGATGCTGTGTTGGGCTTAACAAGACTTGATAGACTTCAAACAGGGGTGGATTTATGCAAAGCAATCTCTGAAATTAAAGCAAACTGGTTAAAATAGTTAAGTTTAAAGTAAATATATGTGACAGTTACTTGAAACCACAGTACTGCTTTAGTTTTCCGTAACTGTAAGAAAATGAAGCATTCTGGCCCTGGCTGGTGTAGCTCAGTGGATTGAGCACGGGCCTGTAAAGCAAAGGGTTGCTGGTTCGATTCCCAGTCAGGGCACATGCCTGGGTTGCAGGCCAGGTCCCCAGTAGGGGACACATGAGAGGCAACCACACATTGATGTTTCTCTCCCACTCTTTCTCCTTCCCTTCCCTGAGGGAGGGAGGGAGGGAGGGAGGAAGAAGAAAATGAAGCATTCTGGGTAATTACTAACACTCAGGCCATTAATTGAAGAAATAATTTTAACTATTTTGATTGGAATGTTATAAAAATGCATCAAATCTCCCTACCTTGATAAATACATACTGCACATAATTTCCCTCTTTATGATCAAGCTCCAGCCTCAATTTTCTACCACTCTCTACTTCAACTTTATACTCCCTCCAGAGAACTTGTACTTCTTGGTAATTATCATGCTTTGTTATGCCTTTATGTCTTTGCATAACTGTTTCTCTTCCTGCATTCTGCAATGCCTCATTTTCCTTTTTTTTTTTTTTTAAGCAGGCTAACACATTCTGGAAGACCCAGTCTCTATATGCTTTCCTCCCACAAAAATACCCCTGATCTTCTGGCCAGGGATAAAATGCATCTTTCCTGGACTCCCATATCACACTCTATTATAGTTCTTATCACCCTGCATTCTAATTATTCACTTGCTCATCCCACACAACTATGAATTACTCAGAATGAATTAATGATGAATCTGTACTGTTCCTCTCAGTATCTTTAGCATAGTATATGGCATATTGTTGACTCAATGTATGTTTTAGTGAACAAATGAAGAACTCAGAAGTATTAATAAATAATTACTATGTTATATTAGAAATAGTATGAGATAGAGAATGGCTTCAAGAGCTTCTGCAGCAAATAAAATGGCATTTTACCTATGCAGATATGGAAGTGTTTGTCTTAGCATCATATGCTCAGACAACATTTACTCCTTCCTATTTCTTCTCTTGCGACTATGTTGAATTCCCATTTTCTTGTCTTTCTACTTTCAGCAATAAACCATGAAATTGCCATTGTACTTACTGCTTATCCTTATGTATGGAGAGTCACATTAAGCCCAAATCCTTTTAGACAAGTCATTCTAAATACAATGAGGTTTCTATTAATTGTTACTGATATCTATAAGCCTGACTTTTGGGTTTTTAGTTGCCCTTTACTGATTCTAATTGTTTTTTTCTCCTGTCAGTGGTTCTTTCCTTTTTGCCTACCTTTTCAACCCTCATCTTCTTTCTACTTGATTTTGACAGTCTACCTCAAATCAACCAGAGACCACCTTTCTTATGCTACACATACAATTCGAATCGTTTATGTCAATCGCATTATTTAGAAGGTTTTTGGTTTTATTTCTAAGTCACTACTCTTGCTTTTGCTAACTTTTAAAGTTGCAACTCATGCTAAGCCACTTTCTTGCCTATCTCCAAGTTTTTGATATTCTGGAGGATTGAAGGTCATTCAAGTCTCACCAATATTTACTGAGAGCTTATACGTTCCAGGCACTCAGTGAAATCCTGGGGGTACTTAAAAAACAAGTAAGGCAGAAAGAGCCCCTGCCTTAGTGTTTACTGTCTAGAAAAGCAGACAAATAAATAAACAAGTGTGAATGATTTTACAACTGTGCAAATGCTGTGTGATGAGCAGCTTGTAAATTACTCATGTACTGAAATTTTAGATTGTAGACTTGTGACCTACTTTGAAAACTGCAAAATTTTATCTAGCACCTCTGTGATTTCAAATCATTTCTCATCAACTCGAATCAGACAGTGCTACACAACAGATGTCATGCGTTAGAACCTGTGACAAGTCTTTAATCTTTAAAAGAAGAGAATCAGTTTATTACAAATATAAACATTTCCAGAAAGCAATGTCTGATTACAGCAAATGTGTAATACTTTCTGATCACACCCGCTTTCACATGCTGTTGGCATACCAAAAACAAGCAAAAAACAAACAACCTTGGGAATGGCCTAACTTTCTAAAAGGTAAATGCAAGATTAACAGGGGATTTCTTCTCTATGTCAGGCACAACACTTGGTACTTTCAAATCTATTACCTGACCTGCCGCTCCTAACCCCCAGGGAAAGGCAGGCTTATCCCTATTATTCTGAGTGTCACATCATGAACCTGGTTTCTCAGGACCAACCCACCAAAAACAGCAACTGCACGCACACCCTCTATCCCCTCACCCTGCTTCGTTTTTCTTCAGAGCGTTTGCATAATTGATGTTGCTGAGTATTCCGTGGTCTTTCCCTTCCTCCCAAACCCCAAGAACTTAAGCACCTTGAGAGTGTAAGTTCCTATAACTGTGTCTAGCACAATGACGGGCCGACAAAGAGGCAACAAAAGGTTATGTGGCGATGCTTGAGCGGAATGAAAATGAAGACACTGTTCCACTCGAAGTGAAAAATAGCCAGGATGGAAAGGGGAAAAAAAACCCACCACCAACTAGCTCAGCTCTGGAGGGTGGCTCAGTTGGTTAGAGGGTCGTCACCGTACGCCACGGATGCGGTTAGACGCATCGAGTAAGTGGAAAAATAAATCGGTGTTTTCCTCTCGCTCTCTCTCAAAAGTCAATAATTAAAAAACAAACAAACGAATTCAGATCCCAGCTGACGGTCATTTCCTAGATTAGCCTGGCCATACCTGGTACTGGGAGAGAGAGAGCTCCTCACCCGCGCCGCTGAGGCCCCGAAGGCGAACCACTAAGAAGGAGCTGCCTTCTCCGTCCCAAAGGAAGAGTTCTCCGCCGAGGCCAAAGACCAGGTTTCTCGTCAGCAACTGAGACAGCGGCGGCGAAGGCAAAGATAAAGAAGCCGCATTTCCTGCCTCGGCTGGATTAGGGTTTTTCAGTCCCTCCCGGAGCCGCACGAACACAACATGGTTAGGAAGCCACGTCTGCCACAGCTCGCCGTCACCTAAAGGTCCCGCGACGGCCGCCATTTTCACCCAACTGCTCCCCTCCTGCCAATTGCTCCGCCCGCTGCAGAGCTCGGCCAATCTGCGGCCAGCCTCCCACTGCTTCCACTAGTCACGGTGCAGGCATCCCGGAAGCACGGGGCAGACGAAGTTAAGGCCCGCCCATCAGGCGGGGACAACGCCAGTGGAAAGTCGATCCCCAGTCAAATATTTTATTCTGAAGCCGAAAGGGGCGGGAGGAGAAAGTCAACAGGCCAGTGCCTGCTTCAAGTTTGGTTCCGCGGGATGTCTAGAATTTGGGGAAGAACTTAACTCCCGCGTATTTGACTGCTTATTGGACACCTCCACGTAGGTAAACCTAGACATTCAAAATCTTCGTTCAGGAATTACCTCCGTCAATCCAGGGTGGTTAACCTCACAAATACTACGAACGCAGTCCCCCACCTTTGGGTTGTACAAATTTGTCTCTGGGTTGGGTCGGCCAATAAAAGTACACTTCCCAGATTCCGTGGGGTGCAGTGGGATCAGCAATCAGAAACTACAGTTCCCAGGGTTCTGCACGCCTGCAGGGGGCGGGGATTTCTGATAGCTACTCCAGCGGAGGGGAGATGGCGGAGCAATCAGTATCTCCGCACCGCTCCCTGTACAAATTGGTGGGCTCACCTCCATGGAAAGAGGCATTCAGGCAGGTGAGTGTGAAGTTTGGGAAAACCTTGCCTGGGCCGTCGTCATTCCCCTAATCCGCCCAGAAACTGCTCTCAGTGCCTTCGCCTCAGTTCAGCCTGGTGAGGCAGGTGCCGGGAGCATCTGGCCGGTGGAGGTGGACCTGGGACTCAGGCCTCCCACCTGAAGTTCTGGGTCTTGGCCTTCTCCCGGAGTTGCTGGACCTTGGGTATGGGATTAGCCCGGGCCGGCCCAACCCCAGGCCCCTATTTTTGAATTTGGATTTTGGATTTGGATTTGTTTTACATTTGAAGTGTGATCCTGGCTACCCCTTTGTACTCTATAATAACACACCTGCTGTTTTGGGGTAGGTGGGCACCAAGAAAGGCATTTTGTATACTGTATATTTATCTCATGCAAGAGAGAAGTTAGTTCTATTCATTCTAGAGAAAGCCTCTGTTCAGAAGAGCTGCAGTTAGTAAGTCTTTGCAAAGTTGCACCTCATCTCAGTTCTGACCTAGTCTGAACACAGCATGGTTCCTGTAATATTGCCTGTGACTACAGGAATCCCATAAGTGGATATATCCCAGGAATATAATCTGATGCTGTTGACAGTTGACATCAGGGATTCTCAACTTGGCTGTTGGCATTTTGAGGAAGATAAATAAATTATTTGGTGTGGGGGGCTGTTCTGTGCATTGTCCAATGTTTAGCTGAATCCCTGGCGTCTATCTGCTAGATTCCAGCAGCCCTGCAACTAGAGTTATGACAACCAAAAATGTCTTCAGGCGTTGCCAGATATCCCTTGGGGGACAGAATTGCCCCAAGTTGAGAAACACTGCTGTACAGGAAGGTGACTACCATAGCTATATCTGGAACAGCAAGAATTTGCAAGCAACGTAAATGTCCCGTAATAGCACAGTGTTTTTTGAGCTGTTATCATCCAACCATTAAGGAAGCTGGCATTGAAGAGAGAACCATGAAATATGGTGATCAGGAAATACATGAACAAAGCATTGTAATTTCATTTGTCTACATGTGAATAAGGACTGGAGGAGAAAATGCAAAATTAACAATAGTTAGGATTATAGTTGATAATTTGCGTCTATAAATTTTCTTTAATGTTTTAACAACTAAGCTAAGACTTTTTTTTAATGTTATTGCCTCCCCCACCCCACCCACCCTGCATTCCCCAACCTCTTCCCATCTTTCTCCTCCTTCCAAGGGATGCCTGGAGAGAATGCGAAACAGCCGGGACCGGCTCCTGAACAAATACCGCCAGGCTAGAGGCAATATGCCAGGAAGAGCTCAGAGCACCCTTCTAGTGCAAGAGTTGATGGAAGAAGAGTGGAGTGCTTTACAATCAATGGAAAGTCGTCCAGAGGCCTTGGCTCAGGTCAGGCAATGATACGTGTTTTCAGGGAGGGTGCTACAACACCAGGAACACCTAGTGTCCTCTGTCCACCTGTTTCCCCAAGTCCTCTAAACTCATGTACCCTCAAGCCCAGACTCAGGATTCTGACAGCCTTTAACCCAGGTTCTTTAATGTTAGACTCTTTTGGATTAATGGTTCCTAAATATCATACTGTTGACCTGCTGCATCACTGCATTGTATTCATTTATGAAACTGAAAACAAAGTAATTTTGCTCCTTGGCTACGTGCCTGGAAATTTTGATCCAGTAGGCATGAACTAGGAATCTCTTTTTAAAAAGGTCTTCAGTAGCTTTTTGATTCTGATCTTTGTAAGAGCTGGGAGCTGAATGTGGGCAGGAAACCATTTACCATGTGTCAGGAAGAGCACTGGGTTAGAAGTCAGGAGCTCTGGAATTCAGATCCTGCTTTTTCTATTACTTGTTAACACCACCCTGCCTGTTTGACTTTTAGTTTTTATGTTTATGGAATGAAGACAATAATCTCAGAGTCGTGAGTGCTATATAAGAAAATGTGGGAAACTGCTTTGAAAACATCAAGGCTCTTTATAATAATGATGCGTTATTCAGTGCCTTCCGTGTGACCTCCAGTATGCCAGATGTTTGTGTTGTATAATTACAATTAGCACTCACAATAACCGTCTCAGCTAGGTTTTATTCCCACTTTACAGAAGTCCAAACTGAGGTTTACAGAGGTTAGGAACTTTCTAGTGGTTTCATAGCTTTGGCAGAACCACATACTTATCTGCTCCCCTATACCCTCTTCCCCCAATTAAGTGTCATTATTTTGTCACTGGGTAGTTTAATCATTTGTTCATGACTTCTCGGCATGATCACATTACCCCATTGTCAACATAATCTACAGAAGGACTGGACCTGATAGATTTACTCAGGCAAACCTGTTCTTCAAGCCATCCTCCAAGTGTGAATCCTTGTGGTGCTCATCAGCTGATTATAACTTCAAACCTCTGGTGGCCCCTCTTTCTCTTGCAGTGGGAGAGGCCGATGGACTTGGCTGAGCTGGAAGAAATCCAACAGGAGCTGATTGACCAAGGTGACCCCTAAGAGTGGTCTTTCCTGCCTATATCTTATTACTCTAATGCAGTACCTCTCTATTAATAGATTAATAGTAATCCTGTCACCCTGCAGGATACAGGGCATGATCAGGTCTCTCTTGCACTGCCTAATTTAAGTGCCTTCTCCGTTCTTTACTGACCCCCCAGGGTCTTGTGAGCAGCCACTCCCTGAGGCATTCATAGCACCATAGAGTGTATAGTTCAGCACTTTATACAATTCGTTTATTCCACATAGTCCTGTCTTGACTAGGCTTAGTTTTTATCATCTGTAAAATAGTGATAATAGACTTACTCTGTAAGTTTGTTTGTAGACTTCAATAATGTGCATAGAAGACTTAGAGAAGTGCTTGGCACATAGAAAGCTTTCAACAAATGATAACTATTATTATGAGGATGCAAGACAGTGGACTCTTGAGCTCACTCCTGAGATTCACTTCTTAGCTTTACCAGTGTAACTGGTGTGGCACTGGGCAAAGCACTTAATCTACCCATGCCTCAGTTTCTATATCTTTAAAATAGGGATAACAATAGGGAATAAGTTTATATATGTAAAGGACTTAAAATAGCATTTGACAAATTGTAAGTGCTATACAAGTGTTAGTTGTTATGATTAGTGTAATGGATGCCATTTAGACTGTGAATTTTTTATCCTCTTAGTTATCCTCTTTTTTAATTGGGTCACCCTTTACCCTCACCTATAAAACTATCTTAGTGGTGAAACATAAATATTTCTTTTGGGGTATGTTTAAAAAATCTGAAGTGATAAGGATTTACTGTGTTCAGCCATACGCCATCATGAGGAACGCTCTAGAATGGAGACTGGTAAACTTCTTGAGAAGGTCCAGATAATAAACATTTTAGGCTTTGGGGTTTAGTCTCTGTTCCAACTACTCTATTTTGCTGTTGTTGTGTGGAAACAGTCATAGACAATACATAAAAAATGACCATGGCTATGTTCCCATATGACTTTATTAAAAAATTGAAGGTGGGCTGGATATGGCCTGTGGGCCATAATTTACTGATCCCTGAGCTAAAATCTAGACTGTGAGGTCATTGAGAGCAGGAATCAGTCATTTTCATCTTTGTACTCCTTGCCTACTACATGGTAGGTATTGTTGCATTTGCTGAATGAATGACCACAGATTCTGAACAACACAGATTCTGAGAATATGGACATTGGGAAAGAGATCACTTTAGACTCAGCAGGGTGGGCCAGCCTCAGAAATAATCACCCTGTAAGTGTCATTGTTCTCCAGCTGCCCTTGGGACCCTGACATCCTACATCTCTGCTCTTATGACCTCAGGAGATGTGTGTGAAAGGTTTCTCCTTGTCCCTTATCATCATTACTTTCTTGTGCTCACCAGTTGAAGACAGACAGGAGGGGAGGGATCCAAGAGGAAGCCTGATGGAAGAGTAAATATCTAGTGGTTGGTAGCAGGATTTTTGCCTGAATATTTCTCTTGTGTGGATGAAGCCTTTGAAGGTGAAGCTTAGCAACAAAGACAGGGCAGTCAGGTGAAGCATGGTGACGTAGTCCAACTGTCCATTGCTTTGCAGAACAGTCCATCATCAGTGAATATGAGAAGAGCTTGCAGTTTGATGAAAAATGTCTCAGCATCATACTGGCTGAGTGGGAAGCGAACTCCCTCATCTGTCCTGTGTGTACAAAGTAAGAGTTTTCCAAACCTTTTCAGCACTATTGGTTCCCACCCTCCACTCCAATATGAGTGGAATTTCCCCTCCACACTTCTTGTCTGGAAAGTTTCAGGGATCCTGGTCTGCTGGCCATGAAGCTCTGGGATCCCAATTCTGCCTCTAGGTACAACCTGAGAATAGCAAGCGGTGTGGTCATGTGTCAGTGTGGCCTGTACATCCCATCTCATGTAAGTGTTTCACACACAGCTTTTGTGTCACCTCTTTCCACGTATACTTGCTGTCTTTAAGAACCTTCAGGGTGTGCTAGAGCCAACTGTGCACATCTTTTCCCAACTTGTGTTCAGTTCACCTTCGTAGCTTAAAATCAGCCACAGTGAGAGTATGTACAGCATGGAAAAGCACTACCAGTCAGGGTGCTCCCTGCCCTCTCCCCAGAGCCATTTGTTAAACACCCGTAAAGATCGTCCATATACGAAGACACACCTATGCTCAGAATTTAAGCTTCAGTTATCTCAAAATACAGAAGGAGCCCTCTTTTCTGACGTGAGAGGATCTGATGGTTTTGTCAGTTGGTTAAAGGGGTGAATTTTAAAAATGAAACATAGTAAGTTTCAAGCATATAACTTTACTTGCCAGTCCTTGAGCGGGGCTCTGCTGATTAGAGAGCTGTGTCTTTTTTACACAGATCACTCTCACAATGCATTGCCTAGTTTCCAGTTTGGTTTCTAAAAAGTGCATCCAGAAGCTGAGTGTACAACTTCAGGATTTTTCCTATCTTTTATGTAATTCAACCTTTTTTTCTTAAGTGACTCATCTTTGTGTTTCCTAAATGTCCCACTTATTATCACAAAAAACCCAAAACTTTATTTTCATGCTCTTGTTTCATTTACATAATATGTAATTAAATTACTCAATTACAGCAGGAAGTTCAATTAGCACAAACAGTTACAGGACCGAGTGGATCTGTTTGGTTCTTATGCTTTTGCCTCCACCAGCCAAACAGATCTTGGTGGGGATACATTTGACTGGCAGAGGCAGAAGCATAAGGGAGGTTCTGAGTGTCACTGGTACTGTAAGGGGTGGTGTGTTTTATAGCAGGACTGGAGAGCGCTGGTTTCCTGGCGAGGCAGTTAGATGGAGATTGATTGAGAGATCTTTCTAGTATATTCATGAGCCCAGGAGTGTTTTTAAAGGCCCAAGGAATCAAGTTATCACAGATATATTGGATATCATGATTTTCAAACTGTCGACTATGAGGTAACTAAGATGAAGTTGTGGTGTAACTTCTTTATTTTTTAGTCTTCAGAATTGACAGAGCAGAAACTTCGTGCCTGTTTAGAGGTCAGCGTGAGTGAGCACAGTGCACACTGTCCTCACACACCTGTGTTTTCAGTCACTGAAGGGACAGAAAAAAAGTCCAGTCTTCTCATGAACTGTCTGGTAAGCCTCCCAGGGGACCCAGTGGTAAGGGCGGGTCCCTGCTCTGGTAGAAATAATAGCTTGGAGACCGGTAAATGTTTAAAGATGCAGTTTATTCTCTGAGGAGTTTACCTGAATAGAAAAGTGAAGGCAACAAGTCAGTTCAACTGACAGGCCAGCTGTTCCCCACAAGAGGAGGGACAGAGGCAGCAGAGGATTATGGAAGGTGCGTTGGTCTTGAGTTAGACAGCCTGGTTGCACTGCCTGCTCTTGTTTGATTGGCAGCAGTAATCTCAGATGAAGCTGATTATTTCATATTTGTAAGACCCAAGGAGGCCATCCTGGTATCAGTTTTGCACAAGGATACAGAGCAGGAAGCACAGCAAGGTAGCATCGGGCTTATCTCTTAGGCAGATACCTTCACGAGGACCAAAGCCTATTGTCTGGCCCCGTAAATGACAACTCATGTGTGAGGGAACGGGACCACACAAGTGGATATAGAGCCACCCTGATTTGCAGGCCTTGAGCTTGCTGTAGGAACCAATATCTCTGACAGTAACCTGTGATTGGCAATGCTGGCTGCTGGGTGGGCAGGGAGACTGTTGTGGGACAGGAGGTTGTCACAGCAAAGATGAGAAACAGGACAGGGAACAAAATTGTATTCCGTAGCCTGTTCCGGAGTTTATCATTTCGAAAGGTAGGTAAATCATTTGGAATGTTCTGGAGTTCATGTGGCACTAGGCATCTTTCTCTTAAGGGGAAGTCAAAGGCCACTGGTTTCAAGATCCAGTGAAGTCAAGCTATAGGGGGATTAAGCTTGGCTGTCAAGGATGAGGAAGATAAGTGTGAGTTACAGATGGGTATGCACACTCATTACTTGTGGAGTATTTGAAATGTGAGAGGGACAGCGGTCTAGGGGTAATCATAGGGATGGGATGTGCTAGATCACTAGAAAGCCAAGTCTATTACCTATGAATGTCAAGGTTAATTAAATTAAGCACAGTATTCCTTGGCATAGATGTGGGGCTGGGCTGTTCAAAGAATCAGGAACCAGTATTTTTTTTCTTTTAAGATTTTATTTGAAAGGAAGGGAAAGAGAAAGAGGGAAAGAAACATCAGTGTGTAGTTCCCTCTCACATGCCCCCTACTGGGGACCTGGCCAGCAGCCCAGGCATGTGCCCTGAGTGGGAATTGAACTGGTGGCCCTTTGGTTCACAGGCTTGCCCTGAATCCACTGAACTATGCCAGCCAGTGCAGGTGGGAACGTTTTATATTTGAGAACCTTCTGTTAGGGGAGACCAAGGAAGGTGTACTAGAACTAATGGGCCTCCAAGTTGACTGTAGTGAATATGCAGTTTCTGCCCTTCTATAATACATACCTGTTTCAGTCTCAAGTTGAGGGAACCTCACCTCCTTGCTAGGCTGTAAAAGCTGCCAGCTCTCAAAAGTTTGAATAATCTGGTCACTGGGTTCCTGAGGGTGAGGATAACTGATCAGTCTTTCTCCAGGGTCTGATCTTAGCCTGAAGAGGATGTTGCTGAGGGTTTCAAAGACAGTTGTTCAGAAACTGCGGGACTGAAATCAAGCAAAGCCTATTCTGACTATACCATTGTACTATTTCAAAGCTATTTCAAAGCACTGTACTATTTTCAAAGCTTGTACCCATTGTACAATGGGTATTGTACCATTGTACTATGAATCAAAGCCTCATCTTGTGGTATGCAGGAATTTCAGTGGCAGCATAAATGTCATTACTGATTAAAACAATTTAAGCTAACTTTTTCTATTTAAATCCAGGCTTGCGATACTTGGGCTGTGATCATCTAAAGCCAGCCTTCACTCACTTCGTTCTATTGGGTTGGAAACAACTCTTTCCATCTGCGACGAGAGGGAACCCTGTAAATACAAACCTTTCATTTATAACTTATTTTATATTAAAACTTTCCAAACATGTAGGCTCTTGGTGTTTTGTAATACAGGTTGAAGGGGAAGGAACAGAAAAACCAAATCACCTTAGAGATAAACCTATTTTATTGCCTATCATTATGTTATACAAAAATCTAGAAATAATAGATTTGTACAGAAGAAACAAATGAATAGTAAATAAAGGGCAACAAATAATTTAAATTTGAATCATTTCCCATGATATTAGGATGAAAACATTTCAAAGTACATGTCTGGCTTCAAAGTAGGTTTTGTTCACTGGCAAAGCCTGCCATAAAATTAAGGTAATTCAACATCTTGTCTGCTCTACTGGCTCTTGACGAAACTTTTGAGGTCTTCCAGAAAAGTAATATACTCCTGGTGCTCCAGGGCTGTGCTGAGCTCCACCAACTCATCTGCAAAAGTGTTGTCCACACCCCGGTCCGCAAGGAAATCCATTAGGTGATCATATAAGGCCTACAAGGAGAAACACCATTAAAAAAAAAAAGAAAAAGAGGGAGAGGCTTCATCTGTAACATTTGCTAATTAAAATACTTTTTTGTCTCTCCTTGGACCAGGACCTCCCCTACAAGGCCCAAGAGCACCCCATCTTATCAAGCACTCACCCAGTCCAGGGAATCTGTGTTGAGTGTGTAATTTGTGTCCTTCCATTCAGATTCACCAGTGGTCTGAAAGCTCACTTCCCTGATGGAGAAAATGTCACTCTCACCCTCTTCTTCTTGTCCAACCTGAGAAGAGACAATAGTTCAGGAAACTGAAGGGTTTTCCAAGATAGGCCAGACTCATGCAAAGAATAGGGACTATTTACAGGTTGAGACCAACCAGGTTTTAACCTTGCTCCCTCATTTCCCATCCCCCTCTTCCCCAGCTTTGCTGGTCTATGCTAGAAAAGGTACCAGTAAGGTCTCCGGAGGCCCTTGTCCCCAGGGATGCCAAGGTGCTAGCACTCCATCCTACTTACCTCGTCTTCTGGATAGTGACAGTCCAGCACAAGGGCCTTCTTGCCATCTTTCTTTACAACTTCAACCACGAAATTGGGAGTGGATGTCAATTCAGGCTGGGGAAACAAGAATAAGTCAGTATATGCCCTTGATAGGTACTGGGTGCTTGGACCAAAGGTCTCAGACAATTCAGGGGGTCTGAAAACCACCACTGTTAGGATATCACTTAGCCATTTTTAAAGTCTTTGCTACAGTGTTCTCAGTAAGGAGCCAATAACAGGGTACACTGAAGCCACACAGCAGCTCATTTTGAACTCTTCATATGGATCCTTTCTAGAGTTAAAAACTATTTTTAAGAACAGAGCATCATATATTTAGTAGTGTTTCAATTCTGTTGACACTTCTTTAAATAACATACTAGGTTCAGAATGAAGAAATCTGAATTCCAGCCCCAGCTATGTGTCAAGTGACTGAAATTTAGATCATTCTTCAATCTTCCTGGACTGTTTCTCCATCCATAAACTGCTAAGATGGCATAAAGCTCCTAGATCTCTTGCCAACTGTCTGTTTCAGGATCTTCTTATGGCCTAAGACCAAAGGCCAGTACATCTGGCTAGCTGGCCATCCTAAAGTCTGAATAATCACAGCAACCCTTCCTTTGACAGTGAACCACTCAATGCCAAGATCATAGTCTGATGTCACCCGGAAGCTGTGTTCTCTGTTCTAGGTCATAAGACAACCTTCTTAGAAGGTCTAGGGACTCTGTGGTCCTTATACTAGCAGTTTCTAGGCCAGATCCACTGTTTCCTAAAATGTTTGAAGACTGGGCCCCAAGAGGCCAGCCACGTAAGGAAAGACCATACCAGAATCTCTGATGTTAAATATCTGATGTCCCCAACTTTGCTACCTTAGTTAAGTGGCTGGTGTTTATTTCTAGCATTTTCTAGCATCCCTCACTTGGGAAGTCTCCAAATGATAATCTTCAATATTAAACCTCTTGTTATAGCAGGGTAAAAGACAATTTCAACAGTTTTCTATTAGAAGAACAAAGGTCAAATTATAAAGCTCAAGCCTGCAGATGACAATTTACTCAGTCCTGGGAAAGAAAATGGGCCATACACTCCTGCTGCTAAGGCTGGCCTGAAACTGCTCCTCTACAAGCAAAGTCCCAAGGATGCTTGTCTACAGCCTTCTTTCCCCTTCTAGCATTAGAGGAATGAAACAAAAACCCCCCCACAATGTTCCTCTAAGCCCCTGGGCCTGTTAGAACTGAGGTAAAGGCTGGTTACAGTGTTACAGCTGGTTACAGTGTTACAGCTGGTTACAGTGTTACAGCTTACCTCCTGTTCTTCAACCTTCTGCCCTTGGGAGGGCTCCTCCTCCCCATCATATGTTGGTGGGATGCTATTGTTAATGTTGAAAGTGACAGTGACCCTAGAGAGAAGAAAACACAAAGGACATGGTATAGTTTTTTTTTCTTTAACTGAACATTAAATATGGAGGCCTGCTATAGTTAAAAATCCTTGTTGGAACAATGTCAATCCTAGCTAGCTTTATACAGACCTCCCAAAAAGGCCTGGGTGCCCACGTCCCACCCTGAGATGGAATCAGCTGGTATGAAACATGCCTTCTCTGTGCCAGCTGCTTGAAGTCAGACTCAGGCCTCAGAGCTCATGTCAGCCAGTTACAGTCAAGTGTAGGTTTACTTCCCCCAGGCCTGCTTCCTGGGGCTCCCTCCAGTGGCAGTGAGCTCCTAGGAAGTGGTGGGATGGAATAGGTAGATGCCTCTATTTTACTTTTTAAAGATTTTACTTACTTATTTTTAGAAAGGGGGTGAGGGAGGGAGAAAGAGGGAGAGAAACAGCTACGGGTTGCCTCTAGTATGTGCTCCACAAAAGGACTGAACTCACAACCCAGGCTCGTGCTTGGATTTTCGCTTTGCACAACAACACCCAACCACTGAGCCACACTGGTCAGTGTCAGCACAATAGCTGCCTTCTTTAAAGAGTTTTTTTCTCCATTAGAAATTCTGCCCCTTAGAGGAAAGGAAGAAGGGGCACTGGAGAGTTGCATCAGCCAAATACCAAGAGCAGACCCGATCCCAGGAAGGGGAAGCTTCACAACAATGTGCTGCAGTATGGATTCATTTTCTAAATACTTGTGGTAAGTTTTATAATGACAAGGCATGACAGAAACAACAACTGATGGCAATTTTAAGGTGCAAGTATCCTCACTTGACAAATTGTGTGCCTAAATTTGAGTTGAAATTAAAAGTGATGTGAAATTCGGAACCAGCCCTGCTGAGCTGTGCTGCTCCAGCAGGCACTGTCTGCATACATTAGCACTCTAACTGCACCCTCTGGAGCCCTGCTAACTGGGCTTTGCCAGGAAGCCACCTTCTCACAGGAACAATGGTTAAAGGTTCAGCCACAAAATCTAATTGGAAACAGTGGTGGCCAACTTGAGCTCTGGGCGCAGAACTGCAGTGTTCATCAGAATACTTTAGTGGCCCAATACTGACTATGATTCATCCTAGGAAAAATGGTTTAGGTGAAATTACAGAATACACCTCCTTAGCAACCAGCCCATAGGAAATTTGTGCACAGTTAACGCACTTGGAATTTACGAAGTTACCCAAAGATTCCTTCTGCATCTTGGAAACCATGTATCAAAGTACTTGCCTCGAAAGAACCCAGGACAGGTCCCTCAGGGTCATGGGTATAGGACCACAGAGCCCACAAGCCCCCAGTACTTACTTTTCTCCACCAACATTCCGCACTAGTTTGGCTTCTGTCCCGTTCACTTCCAGATCCCAACCTCCAGACATCTTGGGGAGGGACTTATGCTTCTGTATCTTCTTTTCCTCCTTAATTTCATCACTCAGGAATTCAACAAAAGCTTTGTCCCCTACAATGAAAATCCGTAAGGTACAGAAAAAGAACAGCCAGTCCATCAATCTAAAGTGACCGAGGTTCCTCGAGCCAGAAATCTTGACTTGGAGTGTCAAAAAAAATCCTCCGGGACTTAGGCCAACTCACACCCAGTAAGTCTAAGTCCCCTTATCATTTGGGAATCTGAGTTCGATTCTGAAAAAGGATTTGCAACCATTAAGTCATCACGTTTCACACAAAGCAAAAGAGTTCCCAGTTACCCCTTTCCACTTACCAAAAGATGTAATCACCCTACTTTCAAACCACGACCTAGGGCCTTCCCAAAGTTCCCTTTTCCAGAAACTAAAGCTAAGGTAAGCTTCCAAATTTTAATTGTATGCCTCAAACCAAAACGAAACACTTTAAGGATGTAGGGGAGAGGGAAATGTGATGGCACGTAGGTATCATCCAGAGGTTGCCAGTAACTGGGAAAATGTTCCGGACCTCGCGGAGCGGCTCCGGGCGGCCCACTCGCGGTCTACGCTTCCCTGACCCGGTTCCCCAACCCCACCCGGAATCTGCCCCACACGGCTGCGGTCCACACACGCGAACTCACCTTCGGTGTGCAGCCCGCCGCAGCCACAGGCGCAGGGTCCGCGAGGCCGCAGGAGGCCAGGCCGCCGCGCAGACCCCGCGCGCACGCAGAGGAGCCCAAAGGGCCGGGTGCATGGCCGGGGCGCGGGCTGCAGCAGCGGCCGGAGAGGCGCAGAGGGCGCGGCAGCACGGAGGCCGGCAACGGCTGCACCCAAAGCGCGGGGCACGCAGCGCAGCAGAGGCAGCATCGCGAAAGCGACAGCACCGCAGCTGACACGTGCAGCTGAAGACAATCCGACCTGAGGGACTCCCAAGTGCTCGCCACCGGAAGTCCCGCCCGCCGCCAGGGAAGCACTTCCGCAAGGTCGCCTGCAGGTCAAAGGCACTGCGGGCCGAACCAAGCCTTCTGCTGGGCTGCTCCCACACAGCTTCCGCGGGAGGGGTCAAATCAGGTAACTGAGCTTTTGTGGATCAGTGGGCCGGTCTGAGTGGTGTGCAGCAACGCTTTCTATTTAATTTGCCAGCATCACTTTTCTTCACTGGCTGCTTATATTCTCCAAATTACCATCTACTGTTCTCAAAGCATACCACGCTGTGACCTGATGGAAGGAATACACTCTTGCCATCCCCAACAACCTAAAGAGCAGCCTTCAAGATCATCTCTCTTAAGACACGGCACTGGAACACGGTCGCCCCCCTTACTCCGCCCCTCCCCTTCATTCTTCTCTCTGGAGAAACCTGGCAGTGCTGGTTTAACCTGACAGCCTCCACTCACCCCACCAGCCCCGGTGCTCCTGTGGGGCGGCAATGCCTGCGACCTTCCCTCTCCATAACCCTCCAACCTTGCTCTCAGGTTCTGATGGGGCGATATTTTTCTCGAGGTAAGAAGCCATGATTTATATCAGATTTTGGCTAAGAACCAATGTTCCTACCTTACACAGGACCTTACCCAGAACCGATGTTCCTATCTTACACAGAATATATAAGGTACCAAGAAAGTAAGGCTTTCCCAATTAGTGGCAAAGATAAGACTAATACTCAATATATTGCAAAGAGCATTCTGTAAATAAGGAAAAGGAGACGCAAGAAAGTCACGCATCATGTATAAGATTCACTTTTAATGAATTGGTAGTCGTGCGAATTCGAGCATTACATACAAGAACTGATGTTTCTATAGAGCTATGTCTATTTGAACAAAACTAGATTCTCAAAATACAACATAAACCTGGACCAATTCGTTTTTCCCCTCTGCAAATTATCATATTCTGATCAAATAAAGCTTAATGGAATCCTTGCTTCCCCACAGATGCAGTGTTCCCGTAAATGCTCAGGATGGTATCTTAGCTGCCTAGCCACAGTTCCAAGCGGTTCTTGATAGCCTGGATTAAATGGATTTACATATCACAATACAGAAAGGTTTACCCCACAGAGAAAAAACTCATCTCCATCCTGGAATCTCTTTACAACCGGCAGAGGTGCAACATTAAGTAACAGTTCTTAACAAGGACCAGGTGTCAGAAGGAAAGAACACTACAGTTCTTTCCCTGCAATGAAATCTGTTGCTCTGGCTTTCCCACACTCCAGGACCGTGAGAAATAGAAAACCAACACCTGAGACATGCAATCTGCTTGGAGTGCATCTATTTACATGAAGCTGCTCATGGGAGCTAGTGACTCAACCAGGTATGGATTTCACAGAGAGGAAAAGAGGTGTCACACCATTAGAGACTTCACCAATTGAAAAAGAGTAGCTCAAGATTATATTGCAACATCATCGTGAAACATTTAACTTTCTTAAGAAAGTTTAAGTTTAAAATGTATTATCCCCCTGCAGCTCAATATGTGTGAACTCAGATGGGTTTTCCAATCTGATTTAATCCCTGAGCAGCTATGTTAAAAATTAACTTTTTAAAAAGCCCAATAGAAAACTATTGTATTAAAACTACCAGAATGTTACAGTGATAAACATATTTCTGTACAGAAACATTAAACATTAAAGCTAATTAGAAGCTATTTACATTTACTTAAAAGCTATTTATCCCTTATTCCTGTTCAGAAAAATATATATTTTCCAGAAACTCTTCAGGAACACAAAAAACACTGGACACAAGTTATTCTAAGTTTTACTTGCCCCAGAGAGATTTTGCTGAAGAACATGATAAATCACCCCATTCCCAATGTTTCACCAGCATGATGAAATTTTTATTAAAAATACGACATTTTCTTTTATCAAGTCAGATTGAACATCCTAGGCCTATATTAAATAAATGAGAAAAATATTCTTTAAAAACCATTTGAAAAACTTTTCAGAAAGTCAGTGGCAGTAAAAACCAGTCAATCTGAGGAAGAATCAGCTAAAAGTCTAAGTATGTAATATGATAGGGCAGCGATCTTCAACCAGTGTGCCACAAGCATTTTCTTTTAAGATTTTATTTATTTTCAGAGAGAGGGAAAGAAAGGGAGAAAGTGAGGGACAGAAACATCAATGTGTGGTTACGTCTTGTGTGCTCCCCACTGGGGACCTCGCCTGCATCCCAGGCATGTGCCCCGACTGGGAATTGAACTGGTGACCCTTCGGTTCACAGGCCAGCACTGAATCCACTGAACCACACTGGTCCAGGGCAAGAATTTTTAAAGCATGCAATACCTGACTATTTAGTCAGAACGCTGACCTCTTTTCCTTATGTTGTCAAATTTTAAAAAATGTCAACAGCCAACAAAACAAATAAATATACCTATTTTTTGGTCAAATTAGCAAAAAATGTATTTTTTATGTGCTGAAGAATTTTAGTAATTAGTTTATGTGTGCCATGAGATGAAAAAGGTTGAAAATAGCTGAGATAGGGTATACAGGATCTGTTGAATCCTATTTATCCTAAACATAAATATTTCTAACAGAATTAAATCACAAGTGCCCTGAACACCAGATAAAAGCTTGACTTCTCAGGGCCACAGCTAGTGCTGGAAAGCCTGGACCAGACTTGGCAGACACAGATGTGGAGAGATGAGGCCTGGAGTGGGGAGCTTCCGCAGGCTGGTCTCGGAGTACAGGTCACCGGATCCACAGCAAAGAGACTGCCCACTGTTTCTGACGGATCTCTCAGTTTGGCCCTTTGCACATAAACTGTATGAACACTTTGTTAAATAATGACCAAAATACTACACATATGTTTAGACCAATTAAGCACATTAAAAGGGCTAAATCTTGGCTACTTCTAGGACAAGACATTAATTTACCTTTGATAAGTAAATATCTAAGGAGAACCTTTGATGTCTTTTTCCCTTCTCAAAAAAAAAGGGGGGGTGGGATATGAAGAGATTGAGAAGACCCTCTAATTCCCTTTGGGAAATGTAGAAACTAAGGGTTAGAGAGTGATGATTGGTCAAGTTAGGGAGTAACAAAGCCATATTGTCTTCAAAGAAGGAAGAAGATAAAGACAATAAATAAGATGCTGAAATATAACACCAGATGTGGTGGACAGGATGAGTCAGTACCGTCTGGTTCTTGTGGACCTTCTGTCTCCCCACCTCCCTGCCCCCACCAGCCCTCTGACCAGGGACCCTGCCAGAAGAAAAATGGCTGAGATGTTGCACGGAGCCATTCCTTACACTCACTTATGTGGACCCAGTTCCAGAGAAAAATATCAACTGAGTATCCTGGAGGCCACTGCCCTCCAAGGTCAATTGCCCATGTTTATACTTGACATGATTCAGAAGATACAAATCAGCCTTCACCCAGGAAACCTCCATGTCTCCTGAAAGGGCAGGTGAGGACACCTGCCACAGAAGCACCAAGATGGAAGATGCACAGCTCATCAGCCCACAAGTGCTCCTTCACTGCTCTCTGCTTGGAGGCAGCAGGGGTCCACTCCCTGAGGAGGAGGTTCTGCCGGGGCGGCCAGGCCACGAGGTAAGGACAACAGCACCTCCCTCCTGAAACATCTACAGATGTCAATTTCTTAGGTTTTTCTATTAAAAAATTTCTTAGACAAACATTAAAATAGATCCAAGGACAAACTTGAGCTTTGTAACCTCCTATGGTCCCCTTCTAGAAAGTCCCCCTTAGCCTTGAGGACCTGGGGGATTTTGTTGTGCTCAATTCACGTCATGTAAAGTGTGGCAACACCAAGCCGACATTTTGTTGCATGTTCACCGTGGGCTGCACAGCTCTGGGCACTTCCATTTTCTCTAAACCTCACGACCCCAACCCTACAAGTTTTATTAGCTTCCCCATTTGGCACATGAGGAAACTGAGGCTCAGAAGTTAACTACGTTCACCCAAAGTTGCCTAAGCAAGAACCAAAAGCATAATTTTGATGTTTCAAAGGTATAAATAGTGGTGCACGCCTACATGGTTCAGTCTAAGGAATTTAGACATTAAAGAAAGACACCTATGAGCTCCAGGATGTTGGGCATGTTCCGCTACATTAAAACCTGCCGCCTCACTAGGCACCAGGTGGGAAGTCTGCTGTCGGGATGGCTGTGGTCCCAGCTCCCAGGCCCCAGTTCAGGCAGCAGCCTGGGGTGGCTCAGTTTCTGGCACTTCTCAGCTTCCTCCGGAAGTACTCCGGGGCGGCCTCATACAACCACTCGGCGTCCACCACGCAGAGGTCTCGCATGTAGCACTTGTTAGTGTGGAGCAGCTCAGTGTACACGACGCAGGCAGGCTTGCAGTGGAAGAGGACGGAGGAGGGGTGGATGGCCACCGGCTGGTGAGTGTCTGTGGTGGCATAGGTACCGTCTGGCTGAAGCTCAGCAGTGCTCATGAAGAGGCTATGAGCCAGGCAGCGACGGACATTCTCCATGTCCCCTCGGGATGACATGATTGGCATTGACATCTGTTTCAGGAGGAAGTGAGAATTGGAAAAGACCCCAAACATAAATGCTGCTCAGCACTGCACAGTATTGCCAGTCAGGGCTGGTTTTCTCACATGCCTTGGAGATCAAGAGACCAGCATGGGCAGGGGAAGAGGCCCAGTTGAAGGAGGGCGCACTGAAAACAGAGAAACCGCAGCCTGGGCAAGTTGGGACCAGGAGGGAGACGAGCACAGAAGGTGCCCAACCACAGACAGATTAGGTGACCTGGCACCTACCCCCTCATGGTAATATCTGCCAGGGCATTCCTGGAAGGAAAGGCCTTTCCCTCTGACTTTGACTACGTCTTCATCTCCTCTGATCCGTCTCACACAGTGCCGCCCAGTAATCTTCCTATAGCACAACTCCAGTCATTTCTCACCCGCTGAAAAGCCTTCACTGTTTCTACTGCTCCTGGCAAAGCAATCCGAGCTTCCAATTGTGAAGCTGTGAATGAGCCCTCTGAGCATCCTGGGTCCTCCAAACTCAACTGCCTTCTCTCTCCTAGGCCCGTTCCATGACGGTGCCTTCACATGTGCACTGCCAGGGCATAAACCACCCCCTGGTTCCACAGTGGAAGTGTTAGCCCTCAGTCTCCTGGACCTTCTACCCCATGTCATCTTATACCCCAGGCTGCAGATGAACCAACCAGTGGTATACACTTGCCTGACGCACACAGGCCAGTTTCTCACTTCTAGGTATTTGGGGTCTGAGTGTGGGAAATCCGAGCAATCCCTCTTATTGTCCTAAGTGGGAGGCTAGGGAAAGCAGCCTTACTGTGTGTGCCAAGGCAGTGGTGAGCAGCGAGAAGGAAGCATGCAGAAAGCAGCCAAAACAAGAGGCCAAGCAGGCCCAGAGAAAGCTGCCTTCGCTCCTGCTGTCCTCTTCTGGTTCTTCATTCCACTCCCTGTGGGGCTGGACTATTTCTTGCCTGTAGGTTCCCAGAGATGCCCTCCCACCCCCACACTCCTTTTCCCTTTTAAGGTGGTTCAGGGTGTTTTGTTCTTTGCAATCAGTTGATTCTGGCCTGAGGAAGACACTAACTCCTCATCTGTCAGTAGCTCAGTATCACCACCTCCAGGAAGCCCAGGGCCCTACAGCTAAGTAGTGTCTCCTTGCTGGCTGCCAGCTGTACCACTCACTGTCTGGGTGATTTGGGGCAACTTACTTAACTTCCTTAGGCTCTACTTTCATCACTGGTAAAATGGAAACAGTAACAGAATCAACCTCATAGGGAGGAAGTGAGGATTAAAAATATGGCAATCATATGAAAAGTGTTTAGAATGGTAGGTCTGTAAGCCTCCAGGACCTTGACCATATCTGGCATGTAAAGAGGCCTGATCAGCCATTGAAGCTTCTAAAGTCAGAACTAATGGAGAAGCACCATTTCTACTGTCATTAATAAACTGAGAAAACTGACTAAGCTGAGATGATCTGGCTGGAAAACTGTTCAAATGCAAGATGGGTTTGGGAAAATGTGTAAAATCAGAACACATCAGGCTACTATGAAAAGAAATCGCTTTAGTGTTAACAACAGGCCACTGGCATCAGACGCAGGCTGGGTACAGGCAACAACTCTCCTAGCAACTTGCAGAGCGTCTGCACTGCGGGGCTGTCTCAGAAGAGGACTGACACCCACACACATTCACCAGAGTTGTTATGACAGCAGATAGTGGGCACTTCCATGCTCAACAACAGGAGATGCTGACATAATCTCCCTTCCACCTCCGAGGTAAAATGTCAAGTGTCAGGCAGTCATGCCCTCTAAGAGGGAAAGTAAGCTAACAGAAAACTTTCTGGTGGATGATTTGGCAATAACTATCAAGACCTAAATTCACCATCCATGAATTCAATTCACCATTCATTCTGTGCGTACCAGGCCACACACATATACTGTGTAGGAGGCTGGGCATTATGACAGAATCTAAACCACCACTATTAGGGGCCTGGTTAAGTAAAATGTAGTGGATACAATGAAATGCTATGAGGTCACTAAAAAGGAGAGACACACATATAGACCATGAAAGACAGCCCAGACCCATTAAGTATTCAAGAAGTCTACCAAGTGGGAAAAATGAGCTACAAACAAAATGTGTATCGTATTTTAAAAAATTTTTATTTATTGATTTTAGAGAGAGAGAGAGAGAGAGAAACACTGATGTGTTGTTCCACTTATTTATACATTCATTGGCTGATTTTTGTATGTGCCCTGACCGGAGATTGAACCTGCAACCCTGGTGCATCAGGACAACACTCTAACCAACTGAGCTACCTGGCCTGGGCTCATATTTATTTTCTGAAGAAAATTTTATACATGTATCCATGTGTATGTACATACACACACAGGAAAAAATCCTAGAAGGATTTATACCAGACTGTTAATAGAGGTTTATCTTTTGAGGGGCAGTATTAAGGGAGACTGAAATTTTCTACATTATATATCACTATTTTCTGCATTGTATCAATTTATAATAATTATGTACTACTTATGTAACCTGAAAATAATAAACATATTCCTATTTTAAAAAATCTTAGGACAAGCCCTGGCTGGTGTAGCTCAGTGGACTGAGCACGGGCCTGTGAGGCAAAGGGTCACCAGTTCAATTCCCAGTCAGGGCACGTGCCTGGGCTGTAGGCCAGGTCCCCAGTAGGGGGCACATGAGAGGCAACCACACACTGATGTTTCTCTCCTTCCTTTCCTCTCTCTCTAAAAATAAAAATCTTAGAAAAAGAAAAAAAATCTTAGGACAAATTCTCATAACATTGTAAAATATTTTTAAAGTTTACAGAAACTGGGTATAAATTATATACAATGTAACTACGTATGTAAAAAACATTTAAAAGCAGGACTACAAGGAAACAGACCAAAATGGTGAGGTAGAATTGTGTGTAACTTTTACTTTCTTCGTTACTTTAAAATTTTCTTGCAACAAGAGTTTCTTTTGTAATCACTATTATAAACAATTAAAATTTTTTCACCTAGAGAAACGTATCAGCTTAGTCCCCCAAAGAAGGAGTAGAAAGAATACCTTTAAGCAGATATCCCTCAGCTGTGCTCTGACTTCAGCTACTAGCATCATATTCTTGCTGTTGATAAAATTCTCTTTGCACCAGTCCTGAATAGGAGAAAAAGAGATCACAATCCTGTCATTTCTATAGTGAAATTAACATAATTTTTAGAACATAGTTGAATTTAGAGAGAAAACTTCAGTTGTCACAAATATAAAAAATATCTTTAACAAAAAGCATAAATCATAAGGAAAAATATCAATAATTTAAAAAATAAAACAATTTTTTCTTATGTCAAGTCACCATGAAAATGCTACAGACTAAGAGGTTTACATCACTATACCTAATAAAGGTATTAAACCAGAATATGTTAAAATATAAAGCTCCTACAAATCAGTAAGAAAAACACCAATAATCCAGTAGAAAATGGACAAAGGCAATGAACAGACAACTCACAGAAGATTTACTAGAAATGACCAGTAACCAATGCACTTATGTAAGGATTCTCAGTCTCGAGGAATCAAGGCAAAGCAACTTAAACAGCTGAGATACGATTTCACATCCATCAACTTGACAAAATTTGTCATTTCAACTAAGTGTTGGAGATGGGTGTGGCAATGGAAACTCTTATACATCACTACGGGAAGTACAGAGATGCTGACAGCTTTGGGGAGCCACACGCTAGCCTGGTGAAGCTGGATGTAGCTACCAGAGACCAGCAGGCTCTCTTCTGAGTCTCGGTCCCTGAGAAATGCTCCCCCTTGGGCGAAAGGAGACCTGCGTAGGTGTTCACTGTAGTGGTGGAAGTGCAAACAGGCTGCCACAGGGCAGTTGAAGAAAACAGCTGCAGTATCCAATGAAGTGAAAGGATGCTCTCTAGGCCACGGGAACACACTTCTACATCCGGACAGTGGTTCCACAGGGAGAGACAAATAGAGCAAAATGCTCACAACTGCTAAAAGTGGATGGTGGCTTTTTTCTTTAATTAACTGCATTAAAATGCAAAGTTAAAGCACACACACTAGGGCACAATTACTGACTATACTGATAAATGAAACAATATATTGCCATTTTCCATCTTGGTCCAAAGAGCTGAATTGTCATACAAGCAAAAAAAAGTACTACAAAGACAGGGCAGCTGGGGAAAAACCCATTTTGTAGCTAAGAGACTGGTCACTAGGTACCGAACTAACTTAAGTATGAGTTAAACACAAGTAGAGTGAAAGGCAGGAATCACATTTCTCCCTGGTACCATCCCTGAACGCAGATGTCTCTGAAATGACATCTGACATTCTTTTTGTAGCTCTTTAGATGATTCAGCCAAAAACAAAGGTCCACATGCCTGAAAAGAGGTATCACTTGAGAAAAGGAACAGCACAAGACTCACCTTATTTCTGCCTATGTTTTTGAAGGTCCGGTAGATATTGAGCAGGGTAATGTGGTCGCCCTCGCTGGATATGAACTTCTTCCGGACACCCTGCACCTCATCCCGCCGGGAGGGAGGGTTGTAGAGAACACTGTCCACAGACAGCAGGGAGACAATGGTCAGTATCTCCTCCGTACAATGGAATTTGGGGGACAGGAGGATGGTCTGCAAATCAAAATTATAAATCACATTAACCAAAATTCTTCCTAGCTTCTGAACACAGTATTTTTGTATATCGCATTTGCAGCTTCCTTTCTTAGGTGTTAAAGGGCAGATTTTCTAAAACCATGACTGTGCATTAACGTTACTTGACTTTTTTGCAAAACAATTGCCTTTCCTACAGGATTCCCAATTCCTTGTGGATAGCTCATGATTTAATGAGTTCTAATCCCACACAGAATATAAATCAGTGTCAGACACAAAGCCGGAGTGGAAAATTATGTAGGAGAATAGTGAAGATTAATCCAGAAGCACTGGGTTTAGAAGTCTACTTTGGGATGGCTAACCTGTAATGTACAGAAAGGGGACTGAAGAGAGGGTATCATTTACTTTGGCAAATTTGGGTTCTAAAGGAAATGCTGCCATCTTTCTTCCAATTGGAGTCAGGGTAAGCTGGTCGTCCTTACGTTCAAGAGCACCCAACAGGTCCAGTTGGGCAATGGCCGCCTGAACATGATCTGAAGAAAAAGAGTCAAAAAAAAATCAAAGAAAGAAGTTGCAACTAGTTCAGTGCTTCTGGGAGCTTGATAACTTGACAACTGATCAAACCACAGCAAAGATCACAATGACCACTGACCCCAACATACTTTCAAAGCTGTTAATGACACATCACTGTCTTCAGTTCAATTCCCTTTTGAAAGAATGGTTGGTAATTTGGCAATATGTATGTAAATTTCAAATCCAGCCATGTCTCACTTAAGAATTGCACCCACAAAAATAATTTTTTTAATAAATAAATAGAAAAGAATTCACCCACAGATGAGCTCATACAAAGGACAGGGACCTGTATCTCCAGAAACACACTCACAGCCATGGACACACCAGGGACCCCTGGCGAGAGGGCCACGGCTTACTAGTCATTCTTTTACGCTTTCTGAATTTAGAACCATGTAAGTACATCACCTATTAAGGAATAAAAAAGCTCTCCTAAGATGTAATAACTGTATATATACTGAGAGGAAACAACTTGTGAAGTATATTAGGTGCAAAGAGCAATGTGCAAATATCTCAGTCAACAGGAAGATGGCAAAGCACATTTTGGTTTACTCAGAATGGAACAGCATTCAGTGGTGAAAACATACCAACACAAGTAAACCTTACAAAACAGAATGAATGAAAATGGAAAGTTACTGAAGAATGACACCGAAACATGCAAATGAAAACGACACATTCAGGGATACATATCCAAAGAGTTACACAGTATAGAACAGCACGAGAACTACAAACGCAGAGTGGGCGGGTGGTTACCTTGAGGGAGTGGGAAGGAAGCACTGGGGCAGGGAGGAGTCCAGGCCGCCGTGAGGGGCGCACAAGTGTTGGTTTTACTGTTCCCTCTACCTTACACGTGTGTTCTTCCTTTGTGTGCAGGAATTTAGCAATGAAAAAAAATACAGTATTTTTCTTTTTTGCTTTCTCTTTTTATTATATCTGTGTGAGAGGATGGATGCTAACTGAACTTATAAGAGGTAATTATTTCATATTCTATGTAACGCCAATTACTATGCTAGTTACCTTAACTTAACCAGTGATGTACCATATTTTTTGGACTATAAGATGCTCCCCCTTCCCCCCAACCCAAAATTGGGAGGAATAATGGTTGTTAATGCTGCTGAGTTTTGTTTACATTTATATTGGTGAAATGTTATGTTATTTATGTTATTAAATATTTTACATTTTTTGCTTCAAAATCTTTTTTCCTATTTTCCTCTAAAACCTAGGTGTATCTTATGGTTCGAAAAATACAGTATGTCATTATATCTCAAAAAATCTGGAAAAAATAGGTGTAGAACAGTGCACAGCATGTATTGCTGTTAGCATTATAAAACTATATACACTTGCATATGTATATTTTCTCTAGAAGGCAACTAGAACATAGTCATGGGGTTATTTGAGGGATGGGAAACTAAGAACCTGAAGATCAGGGGTAGGACCCTCGTGTACTCATCAATTTTTACTTTTTTTTTAAAAAGATTTTATTTATTTATCTTTAGAGGGGAAGGGAAGGAGAGAGAGAGAGAGAAATATCAATGTATGGTTGCCTCTCATGTGTCCCCTGATGGCAACTGGCCTGCAACCCAGGCATGTGCCCTGACTGGGAATCAAACCATGATCCTCTGGTTCGCAGGCCCACGCTCAATCCACTAAGCTACACCAGCCAGGGCTCAATTTTTACTTTAAAAGAAAATTGAGCCCTGGCCAGTGTGGCTCAGTGGATTGAGTGCTGGTCTGTGAACCAAAGGGTTGCTGGTTCAATTCCCAGTCAGGGCACATGCCTGGGTTGTGGGCCAGGTCCCCAGCTGTAGGTACGAGAGGCAACCATACATTGATATTTCTCTCCTTCTTTATCCTTCCCTTCCCCAAAAAGAAAATTGAATTTCTTCATTTAATAAGGAGAGAGGAAAAGAAAAAAAGGAAAATCATGGGTTGAAGAGATGTCAAATGCCAAGCTACCATCATTAGCAAGATCCCAATTACTTCTTCCTTATGGAGAGATCAGTGAGGGAGAGGAACTGATCAAACTCTAGTCAAAAGCAAAGAACTTGACCTTCTCAGTCCTTTTGCTGGCAGAAGTACAATCTCTGCATAACTCTTGGACCCCCTCAACTGCTTTCAAAGGCTCCTGTGGTCCAGGAACCAACTGGGAGTCCCTCTAGGAAGCCACCTTTTCTGGCCTGGGAAGGTGCCAATGGCTCTGAATCTGTCCTTCCATGATTCTGAGACACTTCTCTGGCAGTCAGTGTTGTTCTCCACCAGATTAAACCCAAGGAGACCTCTAAAATGCTTCTGAGAGTCCATTTGCTGTCGTTTGCCTACTTGTACACTGTCCACTCCACTGAAGAGTCCACTCACCGGGAGATGGTTTGGACATGAAGTCAAAGGTGAGCACGTTGGGGACTTTCATCGCTAGCAGCTGCAGCATCACACTCGCCAGGTTACACCTATGAAGAGTGAGGGATGTGTGCTGTTCACTTGCCTTGGTCCTCCAGCCAGTGGGTCAGAGCCATCCCTACTAAGAAGTGTTAGAACTGCAACTCTGGGAAGACCTCAGCAAGCAGGAAAGTGAGATGGGGGAGAGATGGCAGGAGTGTGGGGGCACCTTGGGCCCACCTTTGGATTTCCGGCACGGTCATCTTCTCAAACTTCTCAAACTCATCCTCTGTGTACAGCCGGTAACAGATGCCACTGTCCTCTCTGCCAGCGCGCCCTGTGCGTTGCCAGGCCTGGGTCTTTGACACCCGCTGCACAGCTAACACTTCCAGGCCACTGTCTGGAGAGAGAAGGGCCCATATCAGTGCCTTGCTCATCACACAGAAACTGTTTCCACAGTGTGGACAAAATGAAGCATTGCTTAGAACACCAGTGATCCTTTCTGTAATACATGAGTCCCGAAAAACTCAAGGCTAATCCGGAAAGCACAAAACCAGGCTGTTTTGCAGCAAACCAAGGCCTTGTAGTGGACAATACGTGAAATCTGTTATCAAAAACATCACAGAAACTTTAGGCTTGTAGCAAGGGGCCAGGGAGAAACTTTCAGAGCTCTGACTGAGAACATAGGGTGACAACCACCCCAGCTGGCCCAGGACTTGGGACTTTCAGTGATAAAACCAGCACATTCTCTGGCAAAGCAGGATGGCTGTCACCCTATCCATCAATGGCTCAGAAATGACATGCCTCCAGACGCTGTACACTGTATCCTCCCTTCCACCTCTGCCACGGAAGAGAGACAGTTTGATGTTGTTATTCCTAGGAGTAAATGAAACAAATTTTCTGAATAAAGATGTACTCTGTTCCAGGCACCGGAGACCCAGGCCCTTTCAAATGTTCTAAGGGTAGTGCATTTCAATTAAATATATGGGAGTGATAATTTCAGCTGCCTCAATTCCTCTGCAGAATAAAGCAAGGCACAAAACAGACATGAAGAACAATGATGGAAGCAAGTGTCCCACTGAACATTCTCAGAAAATAGCTAGGGCCCCACCCAGCCTAGGGAATCTGGGGAAACCTGGAGTTCGACCTGGCCATGCTCAAACATGACTTCTGATGAGAGCCTTTGATGTGAGATCAGCTGCCACCATTCTCACCCAACTGCTGACAGGGTTTCAGACCTCGCTCCTGAACCTCTGTGCTCCCAAGTTTGTTAAACCTCACCTTCTCTTTCTACTCTGCCTTTCTGTCTCACATTCCTGCCTCAGGTCCCCTTCCTGGACCTGCTTCTGGACAGTCTCACTTCTGATGCCTGCCACCCAAATCTCAGTTAGTCACAAACATGAAATGCCCATTGTGGGGAAGGTGGGGACTTCAGGAAACTCCGTGGTTGCTCACGACACACAGAAGAGACATCATGAGCTACAAATTCTCACCAGGGTTATACTTCTTTGCTTTAACCATGCCCGTGTCAACTACATATTTTATTCCTGTAATAGTTATGGAGGTTTCAGCGATGTTGGTTGAAATGATCACTTTGCGAAAGCCCTAAAAGGAGGAAGAAAACCAAAAAGCCATATGACACACATATGATTCAGAAGTTTTAAAACATATTTCTCACCATTAATTTCCATAATTGACTCATGATCAAGAAAAGATGACTCTGTTATTATTAATGAGTTACTAATATTGATGGTCATTAAACTGGGTGGGAGAGAGGGGCTGTTCTTGTCTTAAAAGCTCATTTTGAGGTGATGAGATGTAGTGGGACAGGCGCAAGATTCAGATGCAGGTAGATGTGGATGGGGCCAGGTACTTACTGTGTGCCCTTTGAATAACTGTCACTTCACTTGCCTGGGCCTCAGTGTTTATAAAATGGGGTCATAACCTACCTTGCCACTTCTTGAGAAGATGAGAGACAGCGTATATGAAATGTCGGCACAGTGCCTGGCACAGTACGGGCCCCCAATAAATGCCATCATGGACACATGCAGCTTGTTATGCTGGACCTTCCGTGAGTCACTCATTTGCCTTTTAGCTTTTGCCTGTGTACTCTCTTTCACCTTGACAACTGTTTCCCCGTTCCTAACATGAGCATGCTGCATCTGTAGCTACATATTATATTCCTGCAGCTTTTCACCCATGTATCTGGTGCCTGAGCACCCCGTCCCATACAGTCCATATCTGGAGTCTGGTGACGGGCATACCCACAGGCCTCCAAGGGAGAAGGCTGGACAGAGGAGGTGGTGCACTCACCTTTGGGGCCCCTTGGAAGACACGGAGCTGCTGAGCATAGGGCAGGGAGGCGTACAGGGGAAGGACCAGCATGGAGGGGCAGCCATCTGGGAGGTGCTTTGCAATGTCTCGGCAGGTCTTGCTCATTGCTTCAATTTCCTCCTGACCAGTGAGGAACACCAGGATGTCTTGAGAAGAAGGGGCTTCCTATCGAAAAGTTAAAGTGGGATTAGTATTGCAAATGGAAGAACAGCCAAGTGTTAACACACTTATTCACCTAATCTTTCTCTGAAGTTTGTTCAGAAGTATTTGTAAAGTGCTTGTTTTGTTTTGTATTTGTTTTGATGACAAAACAATTAAAAATGTTTAATACTAATAAGTATATGTATATATGTTAATATATGAATATAGTTTTAGCCCAGTAGCAACAGGAAAAATCTTCAGAGGTACACACAGAAAGGATATGATCTAAAATAGTCTCGAAATGTCATCAGTGGGAGGACTCATCAAAGCCATCATTCATGAAAAAGCCTCACCTCAAGTTGGCTTTTGGAAGTAAGTTAAACAAGGCAGATTGACCTTCTTCAAATACTATCAAGATGACAATAAAGGTATGAGCCCAGAGAGACAAGGACAACAGAAGAGGATAGAAGTCTCAACCCATTTCTCAAAGGTGGAAGAGAGGGTGGAGGGCGTGAGCAACTTGGCTGGGCAGGGGGGATTCCAACCTGGGTGCCGGCTACTGGGAATAGTGACGGGAGACATACCAATATCCCAGAGAAGCCAGAAAGGCTCAGGACTTGGGCACAATACAGAGGTGGGTTGTGGGAGGGTGACTATCCAGGGACTGGCTCAAAGTCTGAGTATAGTGTGGTTAGAGCTCCGAGGCCCACTCTCGACCCAATGCAGCCAGGAGGCAGGGAAGACCCAGGGTGCAGTAATGGGATTCAACACAGGAGGATGGCAAAGGGAAGAGCCAGGATGACAACTACACAGCAGCCCAGGAGAGCAAGCTATTCTGAGCAGAAAAGCAGCATAAAGGACTCTGGGAAAAGTGGAATAGGTTTGAACACATAAGAAATATTCGTGATCGGCATATGACAGACTTTGGAACACTTGGGGCAAAATTAGCCATACATACATAGGAAACATACAACTGTGTGTACCAGGAACAAGGCATTGAGATGGTACACTGCTAGCAATGTAGGGTATAATATTGTAAATACTGATACTTGATTTAAAACACATTGTGATATAATTATGTTGAGAGGATGAAGGTAGAGGAGATGCAAGAGGTAGAGGAGGAGTATTTCTGAATCCTTATCTACCATGGTAAGGAATTGACACATAATTCCTAATATCAATATCAACAGGTTATTTTATTTTATTTTATTTATTTTTAAAGATTTTATTTATATATCTTTAGAGGGGAAGGGAAGGAGAGAGGGAGAGAAACATCAATGTATGGTTGCCTTTCGTGCGTCCCCTGCTGGGAACTGGCCTGCAGGGAACCGGCCTGCAACCCCGGCATGTGCCCTGACTGGGAATCGAACTGCGATTGTCTGGTTTGCAAGCCCGTGCTCAATCCACTGAGCTACACCAGCCAAGGCTCAACAGGTTATTTTAGAAAAACTAAGGTAATATCCAGGGGAAATAGCTAAGAAATTGAAAGTGGTTACTCTAAAGAGCAGGATCTGATATGAGGAAGTAAAAATAACTGCTGGTTGTTTTTTTTTTATGAGCCTTTTGGAATTAACTACTTAACTCTTTAAACTTCAAACTGCATGTGCATTGCTTAGGTTAAAATAAAAATGAATTTTAGTCCCAGCTGGTGTGGCTTAGTGGATTGAATGCTGGCCTGCGAACCAAAGGGTCTCCAGTTCGATTCCCAGTCCAGGGCACATGCCTGGGCTGCGGGCTAGGTCCCCAGTAGGGGGTGCACAAGAGGCAACCACACATTGATGTTTCTCACCCTCTCTTTCTCCCTCCCTTCCCCTCTCTCTGAAAATAAATAGACAGACAGATAGATAAATAAATAAATAAAATTAATTTTGACAAGTTTGCTCTAGATTTTTTAGAAAGCTAAAGTAAAAACAGTCAATTTTATACAAATTAAACAAAACTGAGGTGATTTACTCACTCAAATTTTAAGTAAATGTTTAATAAAATGAGAAGGGATTTTGAAATATTTCTGTAGTACGGATTTTTTTTCTTTTTAAAGAAAATTCTAAATTGGAAGCCATTATTAAGTCAACACAAACTTTTTTTAAGGTTTATTTTTTGGAGAGAAGGAAGGGAGAGAAACATTGACGTGCGAGCAAATCATTGACTGACTGCCTCTCACACAACCCCAACCAGGGACCGGGCCCTCAACCCAGACATGTGCCCTGACCAGGAATTGAACCAGTGACATTTCACTTCGCAGGCTGGCACTCAACCCACTGAGCCACACCAGCCAGGGCCCAACTCATTTTTTTAATACGAGGTAGAAAATACCAGAAAACCTCACAAGTAGCAAAGGAGGCAGTGTTTTATAAAACTAACTTCAGTGTACTGGGTGGTTCTTACTGGGGGTTATGATAAAAAAAGTTTGTAAGCCACTGTTCTCACATACGGAAGTTTTCTGGCTTAGCTAGGGAAAGATGCCAGGCAGAGTTGAATTATTTTTAGAGAAAATAAGAGACACTGAAAAAAGGATAAAAACCTGGACATGGAAAAGGAATTCCTGACTCATCTTAATGGCATGGCTCATTAAGCTGTTTCATTCAGTAGCTTTTCTTTCCAGGACTGCATACTCTACCAACTGTAAAATAAAACAGACCTTTTCAGGAATCAGCACCCCATCCCATACCTGGTGAATCTGGAAGACTGAGACAAGTGCGGCGTGCAGGTAGTCTGTCTGAGGTTGTTTGGTGTAAAAAATCTGGATTGGATGCTGCCGACCCTCCAGGTAGAGGACAGGGGCTCCATTGAAGTACTGAGAGAACAGGTCCACATCCATTGTAGCTGACATCACAATCACCTAGGCAAGAGAAGGAAGACAAACATGGGAAACGAACACTGAGACAGCTGTTCTTTGTCCCTTTCAAGATCTGAAAGCAGGTGACGAAGCCTGTGCCACTTCCATTGTGGTTAACTTTGTCCACGACTCTGAAGCAGAAGGGGTGAAGGAGAACACGCTTAGGAAGAAATGCAGGCCCCCTTCCTAGCACGTGCTACACCTACTTTGAGTGGCAGTTTCCCCAGCTCCTTTCGTCTCTTCTGTGCAGCTTTCACCACTCCAAAGAGCACATCTGTGTGGATAGTCCGTTCGTGGGCTTCATCCAAAATGACACAGCTGTACTTCCGAAGCAGGGAGTCTGAAATTGCTTCTCGCAGAAGCATGCCATCTGTCAGGAACTTGATCCTGGTGTCTTCTGAGGTAACATCATCAAATCGCACTGTATAACCAACCTATGTGGAGAAATTATTCATTCATCAAACATATGTTGACCACCCACTATGTAACCAGCACTGTGCCAGGCACTTGTGCTACCATGGTGAACAAGACCAATATCGACCCTGCCCTGCTCCGCAGCAGCAAGCAGTCTAGTGGCTGACACAGACAATGGACATGCTCCTTTAACTGCAATTATAATAAGCATGACCAAGAATTTAAAACTAGCCTCCTACTGCCAGCTACTTAATAGTTTCAAGTGAAGCTATGTTACACATATGAAGAGCTGTCCAAGATGTTTTTAAGTAAAATGCATAAACACACACACATACACAAATAAATTTGACTTATATACAAGTCTGGGACTCATTCTCAATACCCACATATATGCTAGAAAATGCTTACAATTTTTCTAGAAAGACATAAGAGATTTAACAGAGATTATTAAAGCCTTAAAAACACTCAAGATAACCCTGGCCCAATAGCTCAGTGGGTTAAAGCATTGTCCCAATACGCCAAGGTTGCGGGTCTGATCCCTGGTCAGGGCACATACAATAAGTGGAACAAGAAATTGATGTCTCCCTCTTTCTCTAAAAATTAATAAATAAAATAAAAAACAATGCTCAAGGAAAACAAGTAATTTATGCAACTTGCCAACAGATTTTGAAAGCAAAGCAAATCAGACTGATAGCCCGTCAGACCCTCTGATCTCTTAGGAACTGGTAAAGAACTATGAGATAGGCCTACATGATTGTGGCAAGAAAGAAGCTCACTATGTATAAGAAAGCTTGTTCAGAAAATAAATGGCAGGGGAGGGAGAAATGTTCATAAAGAGGGAAATCAGGTACCAGCTTCCCAAGTTCAGTTCTCTTCTCATCTGAGACTCTAGTAGCAAGAGAGATGGCAGCCACGCGACGAGGCTGGGTCACAGCGATGACACCCTGGCGGCCAACACCCGCTTCATAGAGGTACTGAGGGATCTGAGTTGTCTTCCCTGAGCCCGTTTCCCCTACAAAAGAAAAAAGTCTCATCTAAATGTACATCGAAACAAATTTACCAAACAAATGTATCAAAGAAAAAGATAAAAGAAAATGCTCTAAGTTGACACAGTCACAAGAACCTGATCCTCACAAACACTGTTGGTGGAGTGGTTATTGGGATTGATTCTCAGGAGGCCAGATTTATCAGAAAAATCTTTAAAATGTTTATACCCTTTGACCTACAATTCCACTTGCAGGAACTGATTCTAAGGAAATGATTCAAGATGTACATAAATATATAACTTCAAAGATGTTTTATTCCACTTCATGAAAGCAAAAACTGGAAACAATATAAACACTCATCAATAGGTATAGTAAAAACATAAAACAAAATACAATGTACTCTTCAAAAGAATAAGTGAGATTTGTATGTTCTGACACGGGGCATCCATTCATACACGGCTGTCATAACGACTCCTCACCATTCCCTAGCCTCTGCCTTTGCCCCCATTCTCACTGTCTGCCTGGAGAACCCTACAGCATGCATTAGACCTCAACTCCGTCCCGTGGGGCTGCGCTGGCAGCCTCCACTGTGCTCCGTAGTGCCTTGTTCATCACCCTTCCAGCTGACTACCCTAAACTGTCCGGAAGTATTTAAACATTTCTATCCTCCTCCAATTCCAGAAGCTTCTAGAAGGCATAGGGCTATCTGTGTCTTCCATTGTACTTGAGCATCCTGAATATAGTAAGCACCCAATGTTATCTTCTTCCTGGTGAGTTCCTTTAGCAGTACCTCCTGAGAAGCTGTAGATCTTTTCCCTCTTTGCTACAACTACACCTCTTTGACCTCATATTCCTACAGTCCCATTATTCTTCTGTTTTCTCCCCTCTGACTGCTCATTCTTTCAGTTCTAGGCAAGATCATGAACTAAGAATTTGGTTATTCTGCACTCCTCCTGCTGAATCCACCAGGCAAAACTCCAAACTCGGATGAGTGTGTCTCCCTGTCCATCTCTTCTGCTCCTATCCCAGAGAACTGAGCACTGATAAAGTGAAATGACCCAACTGTGCAGAGGAGGACCTGAGTTTGTAGTGGGGCCAAATGCCCCTGGGCACCAGCATTAACATCGATCCTTTTCTTGCTTTTGCAGCCTGTCCTCTGTCCTCATCCTCCCCAAGGGCCTACTTGAGGCCCTGAAAGTCATATTCTCAGCAGAGCTCCTGCACCTATTTCATAGAAAAAGAGAAGTCCTCAAATGTGATCTACTCTACCTCCCCTTGTAAGCTTTTCTGCAGTCACACCCACTCGTGCCTCCTTTCTCCAGCCCCTCAGCCACTTGGACATCCTTCATTGTACTAAAGACCAATTCTGCTTCTAGCCCTTGTTGTCCCCCCTGCCCATGCCCCCTGACCTCAGCTCTATTAGTGCTCGCTTTCCATCTTCAGCCTCCCTCCCTACTGAGTTCTTCCCCTCATTCTATTAAGATATACTTGCAAGTTCCTCTCAGCTCCCTCTTTTTTTCCTCAAAACCGAAACCTGCTCCCACTACCTTCATTCCCTCACCTCTTACTTATTCCTTAGCCCAGTGACAAGTTTCAGCTCCTACCCACAGCTGGGCTGAAACTGAACTCAATGGGATCCACAACCGATACCTTGCATCCAAACCCAGTGGGCATTTTTGGGGTCCATGTATTACTGGACCTCATTGTTGCATCTGTACACTCCCCTCTTCTTGTAACTCTGAAATTCCTTCGACTGGTCTCCCTCTCCTCTTTGGAGGTTCATCCCCTCGGTCTTTCAGAAGTTCCTAACTTAAACGTTGGCGATCACAGCTCCTTCTAAACAGTTGCCAATTCACAACCCCGCCTTTTAGTTCGTGCACCAGGAATTACTATTATACCTCCTGTCAGACCGGACTATCTCTCACGCAGCAGGCTCTCCCCCTAGCATAGAATACCTCCCTCCGGAAGCACCTCCCCCGCCGCCTCCTCCCAGACTGGCTCAGTTCACCCTTCTAAGTTCCCAAAGACCCCAGTATGCCCTTCAACTCTTTCACACTGAAGGTGGGCCTCTGCCTAACACTTCGTTCACTCCCACTCGGCTGTGAGCACCTCCCAAGCAGGGCTATCAGACTCCGCGGCCCCACTTCGGGCCTGGCCCAGAAAAGGCGGTTAGATTCGTTGTAGAAACAAATGAAAGAGGGTTAGAGGCACCCTCTTTTAAGAAAACTGCTCGCAGAGCCAGGAACCAAGAACAAGAAAGGAACCACGCGGCCACTCACCGATGAGGATGGCGCTGTCCAGGTTTCGGAGCTGGGCCAACAGTTGCCCACGCGCCTGAAAGATGGGTAGACTCCGGCGCTGGAATTCCACAGCCTCGGGGTAGGGGCTGGCTGAGGGCTGGGCCAGGGGCGGCTGCCGCCGCCGGCCTCCTCCTCCACCAGCACTGCCCGCGCTCAGCAGCATTACCACTCGCCTCTGGGGAGGGCAGGACCCGGCGTGGCTCCCAGGCCCTGAGCCCTGCCGGAATCTCTTAGCCGGCGGAAAGCCCGCCTCCTCTGGCATGCCGGCAGGGAACGACCACCGGAGGAGCGAGGGGAGGCAGCTTTGCAGCTCTCGGGAGCAGACAGCTAGGACGCTCCGCCCCTCTCCCGCCACCTGCTAGCGGCTCCCGGCGACCACCCGAGACCTCAGGCCCACACCTAGGCTTTAGGAAAGGGACTGCAACTCCCAGCATGCACTGGGAGCTTGCGGTGGCTTTCACTTCCGGAGGTTTTCACTTCCGGAGGGCGGGGAGTGGAGCAACCGAAGTAAAGCCGGAAAAAGGCCGTGAGCGACAGCCACGGAAGACCGGGTGTTTGGTTACACTGGATCTTCCCCTTGCGTCGTAATAAAGCGATCTTTCAGTTTTAGTGTACATGTAATACTAATTCTAGTAAACATGTGTTTACTAGATAATACTAGGTATTACCACAGTAATATTCATTCTTTAAGAAAAGTGCTTAATTTCGTAAGATCAATTAGGAACCCACATCTGCGTTATTTAATCCTCTACCAGAGGTGTCCAGCCTGCGGCCAGAGGGTCCCCGGGATGGCTATGAATGCGTCCCAACACGGAATCATAAACTTACTTAAAACATTGAGATTTTTGTTTTCGTCAGTGTTTGTGTATTTACTGTGTGGCCCAGAGACGCCAAATTTAAACACCCTTGCATGACAATTTATATTACATATTAGATACTGATATTACCCCAATTTACAGATAAAGAAATAGCCTCTGAGATTAAACACATTAGATGCCACAACATTAGAATGTTGAAAAGGACATTAGTGGTGATCATTTTGTATTGCAGAAGAGGAAATCACTCTAAGATACATCCTCTAACAATCATACATTCTCAGAAAATGACTATCCCAATGGATGTGGTCTGCTCCTGCAGTACAAGCAAGGAAAGAGGAAGTTTAATGAAACTAAAATGTTTTTTTACCCTTCTTTTCCCCAACTATTTCTGCCAGACTCTGAAGTTCTCCACAGTGCTTCCCAAACCCCATCACCCAGACACCAATCAATGCAAAGATTCATAACTCCTGCAGGGAAGATAAGTTAAAACTAGTTTCTCCATCCCCTCAGAAATTCAAAGCTCTTAGATGATTTTTTTTTGATTCAGCACAGAAAGACTGGCAAGCAGCTCCTTTGTTCTGCCTACAGGAAATTATTTCCGAAGAATTCGTGGTAAGTTTCAACACATGGAGGACTTTGGGCACCCTGTGAAGTTCATCTCTGGGCAACCTTGGCAACTCATATTTGTGAACCTGTTAAAAATGCTCCTTCCCCCTTCTTCTAGGTCTGACACAATTTTCCTCCACTTGCTTACAGTATAGTGATAGGGAGTTACTGGAAATGTACATGTTGATCTTATAGCAGATATGTTTAAGAATAAATTGACAGAATTTCACTTCTTACCCTTACATATTTAGAAAGGCAATCCAACACTAAAAAGGAAAATCTGTCTTGGTCTGTTCAGCTGATATAACAAAATATGACACACTAGGTGACTTACAAACAATAGAAAATTAATGTTCACGGTTCTGGATTCCAGCCCAAGATCAAGGCGACATGATTGCCTTTGGGCGAGGCACTCTCATGATGTCTGCCTGGAGAACTGTTGCTGTGTCCTCCCATGAAGGAATGGGGTTGGGATCTCTCCAGAGCCTTTTTATAAGGCATTAATCCCATTGATGAGGGTTCTACCTCATGACTTAAGGACTTTCCAAAGGCCCCCACTTCCTAATACCATCACTACGGGAATTAGGATTTCAACATGAATTTGGGGGTAGGGGACAAGTATTCAGACCATAACAATAATTAAATGTTAACTCTGAAATTATAGGCCTTAAGTATGTAAGATGGACTTCAGTCCTTTGTCCCAGCATGCTTTCCAGAGTAAGCTAATGGAGACACATGCTCCAATTATATATCTCCAAATGAGGTAAATAATCAACTGAGTGAAATGATGTCTTGATAGAGAACATTCCCTGTCTGTAGCTGCCATGCAGGCTGGGTATTGCCAGATCTTCCTTTTTTTTTCCCCAAGAAAAGTAAAAAAAAAAAAAAAAAAAAAAAAAGGTTTTCATGTAAAATCTGTTCATTTTAAATGTTAGCTCAAAAAAAACTTTTGAAAAAGATTTTATTTACTTTTAGAGAAGGATGGAAGGGTGGAAGAAAGGAGAGAAACATCAATGTGTGGATGCCTCTCACCTGCCTCCTGCTGGGGACCTGGCCCACAACCCAGGCATGTACCCTGACTGGGAATTGAACCAGCGACCTTTCAGTTTGCAGGTCAGTACTTGACCTGCTGAGCCACACCAACCAGGGTCAAAATTCTTTTTAATGGTGCAGACAAAAATAAACCAATATGTAGGCAACTCAATAACCTCTAGCCCAATAATCCAGCTATTCTGAAGCCTGAAAGAATTGAAAAAAACCTTATATTGGCATCCAGCAGTGTTACACACATTTCCTCCTCTACCCCTCCAACCCCCACGTTGGCAGTTTGAAATCTGCCTCCCTCCAAAATAAGTCTCTTGTGGTTAAATGACTTCCATATGCAGATGGTCACAAGCTAACTACTCAGATATTTGGGCTCTTCTTCCAAAAGGTGAATTATTTTTTTATTGTTGTTCAGTTGGTTGTCCCAACCCCCCACTCCCTCTCTTGCTCTCCCTTGCCCCATCCAACCCCTCAAAAGGTGAATTCTTAAACACATTTCATTCTTAAGTGCTCTGGGATGGTGTGTGGACGTAACTGTCTATTCTCACTATGATCATACTGGCTGGTGGTGGTCACTGCTGTTCCTTGGCTTATCTGACCACCAAACCACTGCCTGTGACCACGTTTGGTTTTATTCTACCCTCCAAGATCATAAGCCTCAGCAACTAGGTAGAAGTTTGCATTCACATATATTAACCCCTCTTTAGTTAAAAATACCAGATAATAGTTTGCTGATCAATAAACAAAGTATTTATTCAGCACATATGTGCCAAGCACTGTGCTAGGCACTGTGGTGGATACAAAAGTTTAAGACATGGTCCCTGCCCTTAAGGAGCTTACATTCTCGTGAGGGAGACAAAACTAATATACATGTACCAGCTAGTAACAGTACAAGACAACATATAATTTGGTGTAAGAGTATGTCATATAGACTTGAAGCTTTATAGGAGTTCAAAGCAGAAAGACAATGATATGGGCCTTAGAGTCAAGATTTCTGAAGGAACCAGGAAAGGGGTCAGGCCTTGAAGGACTGAAGAGACTTAAATTGAGGTCCCTGCTGGGTACAAGTAGGAGTAGGGCTCAGAGGAAGTCAAAAAATATGCAATTGATATGGGGGCTAAGAAGTCACTGTGGATATCTGAGCAGAGAAGTGACTCGATCATAAAAAGTTCCACAACTTTAATGCAAATTGATATAATATGCAAATAGCTCAGGGGACATCCCTACACAACACTAGAAACAATGGCATAGTGTGACTACAACACAGACGGCACTCACCTATCAAGGGAAAACACGGCTGCAACATAAAATACAGGCTATCACAGACAGATGACAATTCTAGGAAGCCTCTTATTCAACATGCCAATAGCTCCAATATTTCCTAATTTCAATAGACCCTAGAAACAGAGCGAAATTTTATTTATTTATCTTAAGGGGAAGGGGGAAGGAAGAGGGAAGAAAATTATTGGGACCCCACCAATCCACTGAGCTACACCAGCCAGGGCTAGAGCGAGGGTTTCATTACCAAAATCTAACACTTGGGCACTCTCTGCTTAGAAATACTACACAAGAGGTATGAAGATATTAGGACATAGGAGAGTGACACAGAAAAAGAACAATGGGAAGAGAGAAACAAATAGAATTTCATAGTGAAAAACAAAACACCAAAACGTATATAAAATGTTATCTCCGAGGGAGATGTAATTTACACGTCCATTTAAAAAAATGAACATATACTGTATTTCTACAGTAACAACAAAACTATGCCTTGGTTAGGTGTGCTTTTCAGTATTACTGGTAGAATCCAGGAATCCCTTAAATTATGTCAGGTAAATTGGTCACAAAATCCCATATACTGAATCTCATTTTTCAGTTGACTTGCATTAATGTAAAAGGGTGTTCTGGAAGAATCGAGACTGAGGTAAGTTGGAGGTGATGAACTTTTTCTTTATGTTCAGGTAAGTGTAGGTAACCTGTTAAGCAACACAGGGCTAGGGATGGTGGTAGTGGGATGGACCAATCTGATAAGAGGTCAGTGACTGACATGACCACTGCCCAGGGCAGAGTGAAGTGGCACAGTGTGGCATCCTGCTGCTAGGAATTCTCATCCCATCAGAGAAATCCAAGTCCCATAACCAACTCTGTTTAGGCCATCAATTCAAAACTGGCTTCTTGTTTTACCCAGCCATCAATATGCACAGACATTCCTTACTTAAATGAACAGTCAGTATATAGATTTTAGGATTAAAATTTTACCACAAAAATTCCATGAATGGGATAACTCAGTTAACTGAGGGAGAACAAATAAAACTAGAGAAACCCACTGCTAGTCCCAAAATGAACAATATTAAAAACCCCTTCTAATTAAATTCAAGCTTTCTTGAACAAAGACAGGACAATTTAAGATCCCATAAGGATTATGCATTCCCAGATTGGCATTAAGGTTTTTAAACCACTCAAGAAAAACAGCAGTCCCATTAACCCATATTCTATAAAATTGCAACAATCATATTAAAAATTACCAACCCACAGCATGTAAAATATTTAAATTCCATTCCTAATGCACAGTCCATTGAAAGATGTTAAAATACTATTCACTTCACAAACACTATGACAATTCCCATTAGGTTTAGTTTAAACCTTCATTTCAGAGGAAAATCTTGTACTCTAGAAAGCTACCACATAAGAGTCTGGAACTACTTAGGAAATAGTCCTGTGCCTACATGCTGTTTATCAAAACTATTTGAAACAATCTCTTTTCTGGGGGTGTCCCTTTTAGTCCTCTGGGTTCCCTGAATTACTTAGGCAGCATGAATGTAAACATGCGGAGACCCAGGGAAGTTACTATTTTGGATAGGCATTTATTGAACCACAGGCATTAAGTTCCTATTTCTGTGGAACCTAATTTCTACCTGGTTGGAAAGGTAAACCAGGTACTTTACTC